TGAGCCTTGTCTCTGTGTCAGTTTCGCCTTCAGCGCATGACCACAAAAACCATCTCATTTATCCATGAAAATCTTGTGGCAGCACAAAAAGGAACCTGTGCGCCGTATCCTTTTCATTTTCAACCAACCACAAAACACATTTCGCTTTCATTTCATTTCAAAAATCCGTCGGAGAGAAAAGCAGAATTAAAAGCAGAAAAAAAAAATTGAAATCGAGCAAATGAAAATGAAAATGATGAAAATGCAACTAATTCCTGACGGCTTATGGTTATTATACGTTCAGGCTCATACACTCTATAAGCTGTGGGGGCGTGGCTTCCGGTTTTGTGGCTATAATTTTTATTTTATTTTTGCCAAAAGACATTTAATGCAAACAGCTGAACCTGTAGCCGAGAGAGTTGAGTCAGAGATTAACCTTCAACGTCGCTCAGCTGTATATCATTTAATTTTGCGGTAAGCTTAAAATCCAAGCAATCTGCCAAGCTCCCCCTCTTTAAAAATGTAAGCCCAAAAGCAGCTCAAAAGGTACGAATATAGTTTGAATAGGATCCGTTCAAGGTTGAAATGCTAAACAAATCCCAGCGGTTTGTTGGAATACCCTGTTGCAGCGGAAAATGGGCAAGAGAAAATGTTTTCTGAGATTCGTATCCGTAAAATGATATTGGATCAGAAATTTTGAAGTCTTTTTGAATACTTGATTCAATATATTCAAAAGTGTCTAATAAAATCGTGTATTTAAGGAAATAACTGCGAAATCATGCCACATCAGCTCGGTATTGGATATCTTCCAGTCTGCCAGACCAGAAGCAGAGCGATATTTTTGTTTGTTTCTTTCAAGCTTTGCCCTTTTGTATTGCGCTGCTGAAAGGTCAAAAATGGAGCTACGTATTTATAGATTGCGTGCTTAGTGTGCTGTGTTTTAATTAGAAAAAGAATTGCCTTTGCCTCAAATTAAGAGCTGTGAGCGAGTGGCTGAAACACTTGTTGAAGTTGGCCAAAGTTTAAGGCCTGTCTGTGCCTGGCCTTAACTGACAGACAAACCACATTAACAATGCCATTCAAACTGCATAAATCAGCATTCAAATTAGAAATTAGACAAGACACAGACATGCACACGCACACACACACACACGCACACTGCCAGCCACTGCGTCCAGATTCGAGAGCTATTCAGACTAAACTCATCTAGAACAGCCACTTGAGGTTAGCTCTCAGCCCCCTTCCGTCTTTGCACAGATCTGGCAGCAGTGCCCGCTTGCACTCTTCCGCTCCCCCTCTCTCTGTGTCTCTCCCACTGCTTTGTATCTGCAACTCATTCGAGGCACACTCGTCAGCGCACTCATTATTAGGCTCAAGTGCAAATTAGTGTGTTTGTTAGTGGGTTATTAGGTTCTCCTGAGCCGCCTTATTCACTGTTTCCCCTCGCACACTTCCCTCGCCCCGTTATCTACAAAACACCACTACATGCCCTGCACCCGCTTTTGTTATGCCAACTAAATGAGTTTCTGCTGTACGAAAATGTTCGCTTGTTTGTCTGCACAGTAAAACTTGAGTCTACAAATTTTATTTCATTGTTTTTCGAGTGCGCTCACAGCTTACAAAAACAGCAACAACAAGAACAACAACAGAACGAGCAGCAGCAGCAGCAGCAGAAATAGACGAATCCTGTGCTGTGTGGGCGTCGTTGCTGGTCTTTGTGTGGGCGTGGCATTGGCACTGCTCATTGTACTTGAATAGTTTTTGCCATCATCGTTTGCGTCGTCGAATGGCAAAGTTTTCGCAATTAACATGAAAATATATGCACACCCATACAGACATACACACGCACGCACACCCGCTCACACTGATACACACTTATGCAGCTAAGCCAGCTAATGCAGAAAAAATGTGCTGCCTACTTTTGGGCGAGGCGCATAAAAAATTAATTTAAATCAATTTGGGCAACAAACCGGAAGTCGGCCCAACGATAATAATGAAAAAGTATGCATAAAATCACCTTAATTATGGTTAACATCCGTTCACGCCCGCCACAACCCGCGCTTGCCACACCGCAAACAATTTGGCAATGCGCGGCATAATAAAAATTCAATCAGTACACAAAAAATAAAGCACATAAAAAATGACAACAAGAACTGACCCAAAACTCTCAACGAGCTGCCCAAAATGACATTAATTTACACATCAACGATGCGCAAAAGGACGAAGAAGTCCAGCCAGGCTCGCTGTGTGCGGGTGTGTGGGTGCGTGTGTGTGGTGGGAGTGGCCGGTTGAGGCAGTAGCCGGCAACAGGACGTTGACAAGGAAATGCTCGAAACGCGGCCGATCAGATGACAAAGCGCGTTAAAAGGCACATAAAAAAAGGGGCAGAAGGAAAGAAATGGAAAATAAAAAGAACACAAATTTTAAGCGTTTACCGAAATTGACGAGCACACATATTTCAGAAAGCCAAAATGTATTTTCAGTATAATTTTACATTTCTGCAGAAATATAGAAGAAATGAACAGAATACTAATTTAAAATTAAAGAGCATATAGGTTTTAAGCAGAGATTCAGAATAATTCCCGATGCTGCGGCTGACGCTTCTAACCCAACTTATGATTCAAAATTTCACATGTTTTATGTTCATTTTAGAGTAAGCCACTTCTATACCCTCAACGCCTTGAAAATGGGTTAAAGGGGTATAATGTTTCTTTGCAAATGTTAATACAGCCAGAAGGAAGCAACTCTGACCATTTAAAGTGTATATTTTCTTGATCAGCATCAAAAGCCGAGTCGATCTAGCTATGTCCTTCTTTCTGTCCGTCCGTCTGTCCATATGTCCGTCCGAATGTATAACCGTAAGGATCTCAGAACTTGTGGAAGCTAGAAACTTAAAAACGTAGGTCCTCCTAGTGCTCAGTGCAAGTTTGTTTCCGATAATCGATGAATTTGAGCGCATTTTTTCGGTTTTAAGAGTTAGAGTCAACAAATTTGATATCTAGCTTCTAGAATAGTATTTACATATCAAGTATCATTCAATGAATAGCTACCGTCGCTCATTCCCCTTCTCCCCAGAAGAAGGTCCAGGGTATCCCCTAGTTGGACTTCCTCCCAACATAAGCACTCCTACTTGTTTCAACATAACTCAAAGACTTTCAATTTTAGACTTTCAAGTCCAAAGAGATACTCATACAACATATACCAGGTCTTAACAACAAATATTAGAATGTAACAGCAGCAGCGTGTTACGGCAATGCAGCAACGGCTAAGCTGACTGTGAAAACTACTTAAATGAATGTCTAAGCAAATCAACTGCAGGATATTCAGGAAGGCATAACAATGGCAGGCAGGGCAGGGTGGCAACCCTGGTCTGTTCGTGCCATAAACGCCAAGACAAGCAAATCAAGCAACTTGCCACTAATCACAAAGGCGAGCCGCAAGGCGAATGAACAAACAAAATGGCGCACAGCTGCCCCAGCAGAGAATGTCTGCGTGCATGAGTGTGAGTCTGTGTGTGTGTGAGTGTGTGTGTGAGTGTGTGTGTGTTAGTGTGCAAGCACGCTCGCTCGGGTATATGCATAATTGAATTTGATAGCCCAAAAGATTGTTATTGCTAGAGATTTGTGTGGTAAGCGTGTCGAGAGCTGAGTGAGTTTTCCAACAGCTGCTGCCGCTGCTCTGCCTCTTCTTCTTATTCTTCTTCATATTTTTGAGCTCTATTTACTTTGTGGCAGGCACAGCTAAATACAAATATTGCCTAAGCCTTTGCCCAAAAACCAAATTAATGCCATGCTACTCTTAAGCAATTTGTTACTGCAGCTTCTTCCGATCTCAAAATTTATCAGCTAGACGACAGTTTGTTGTGTCTAAAATAAATTAAGTTTTCTGATATTTTTTCCCTGCATTGTGGAAACGACACATAAACACATCCGGCACACACAATTAATCAGGGAGCATTAATTATTGTAGGCAGATTTAAATGTAGCGTGTGTATGTACTGGCCGGGAGGGCCAAGGGGCTAGGTATATGCAATGCCGGAAATTAAACATACGCCATGTAGGCCAACAAAAAGACGGAAGCTTATTGTTATGCAGCAAATGTGCTGAGAAGCAAGCGATTTTCGCAAGGCGATGAAAATGTTTGGGAAAAACAAAATTTTAATATTTAAATATAAAAAACTGCTTATGAGGAAGCAACATACCATCGACAGCAGCAAAGGCAACAACAACACGAGCTTCTGGCTTAAAGTAAATAAAAGCAGAGTGAATATTAGTTGGACATGTGTCAGCAATTGACAGGCTAAGGAATACTCTGTACTGCATGAGTAAGGCTTTTTTATTTTATTAAACAAATATTGAAATAGAAATGTTGGCAATCGAAAGAATTTTTGATTACATTTTTAAGTATATAGACATTAAATAAAAGTAACAAGTGGTTGGCGTAATATACCCTGTATGTAATAAAAAAAGTGGGGATATGTTAGGTTCGTAATTTTTGTGAACTTATTCTAACAGTTATCGAAAGACAAATAGACGATAGATCTAAGTATATAGATCTGTTTATATATTGAAGTAAAAATTAATTAATGCATTAATTAGATTATAATATAATGAAGATAATATATTTTTAACTTATTAATTAATTTTTATATAATATTATTATGCATTATTATTATTACTTACTTATTAATTGTCATGTTATAATATTATATATTATTTTTAACTAATTAATCAATTAAAATATTACTATAAATAACTTTTAACAAATTTATTAATTATCTAATATAAATTTGCATATTATGTATTATATAAATTAATTAAAAATTTCCAGAATTTTATATTTTGGTAAAATAAAAAAATGTTTAGCTTAAGTTTATTAGTAATAGGATTTACGCTAAGTCCCCAGGCTGACTCACTAAAAATACGCTGTGTATTGTGAATAGCAAATATTCATATAGTTTCACAACACTAAAACAATTTTTATTCAGTTTTAATGAGTATTGTGAATAGGCATTGAAATATTCATCTAATTTCACAACACTAAAACAATTTTTATTCAGTTTTCATGAGCAGCCATAAGGTAATCGATATGCCAGAGAGACCAATTAATCTGCACGCAAGTTAGATCTTAAATATTTAAGAGCACCCTGTAATGTAGGCATTAGGCATTAGGCATTAATCAACATTTACTTAACAAAATATCTTAACGTTTTTCAATAGTTAAAGTTTCCTATTAATATTATCGGCCGCAGCGTCTGCAAGTTTTACAGCTCATCTCTTTTTTTCAGTTGCATTATTCTTAGCATAACAAACCGCTCCTAACTACATTCCAGTCAAGGAAGATTTATAATATATGCAAAATTCGACGCAACGCAGCGACAATTTTAATTTATACAAATTTTTTTGCTTTTGCTGACTGAGTGACTGACTGTGTGACTTCCTGTTGCAAAATGCAGTTCTGTGTGCAGATGGAGCAAAGTTTGCGCAACTTGTTTATGATTTCATGTCAAATACGTGTAGAAGTGGCCGACTGCAGTCTGCAGGCAACCAGCCTTAGATTCTGTCCATCTTTTTTTTTGTGGGTGGGGCCGTGGCACGTTGTCGAAGGGCCAGGCATAGAAGCAGTTGAAATATCCTACAAGTGCAACTTGTACGACAGGCACGCCCCTATTTGGCACTAGACAACTTTTTTGATTTACTATGTGTGGATGGGTGAAGCGGCATCGTTTGGTGTTGCCGCGCAGCATATTTGCCAGCTTCTGCTGTTGTTGAACGCTTTAAGGCAACCGGAAGTGCAAGTTTATTCTGCATTCTATTCGAAGGATGTGCAACTTCTTGTTGATATGCAAAACTTGATTTTGCTTGTAATGCTGGAAATATGATTAAACTATTTAAATATTTGCAAATTAAGTGTTTAAATTGTGAGAAATAAAATTTGTACATTTAGTTTAAATTATGTTAACTTAATACAAGGCACGTTTTAGATAATTAAGTTAATGTTGATTGAAATAAAATATTCTTTAATCACGTTAAATTGATGTACATATATATGTATTAAATATTTTAATATTATCAATTAGTATTGTTTTTAAATTCGTATTTTATATTTTAGCACCCTTTAAAAGTATCAAATATTTCAACTTGAAATGCGCAGAATTTACAATTGCATTTAAAGCGGTGTTGTGCTTTTATTTTCAACAGTCGCAGACGAGCAAGCAAAACACACACACACACACACACACACACACACACAGAGAGACACTGACAGCTGTGTGGCATGCAGCTGCATTAAACCAGCCCGCCCTCAAAGCCCGAACCCGGCCACCAACCTGCCAACACTCACAAAACGCAACTTCAAACCAAACACTTTGCATATGTGTATTCTCTACATAAATGCATTTTAAAAATATATATATATATATGCTAAAAAAACGAGTGCAAAAATATGAAGAAAAAAAAAACGAATGCTGGAAAAAAATATATGCGAAAAAGAGAAGTGAAATCTTTTATGCGCCTGAAAGCACGCTTCAGTATAATTTGCGGTCATGTTCATTGATCTCCTGGGAAGCATTAAAATTTAATGATTTATATTATGAAAACCGTTGGGGGAAAGCCGGTTGGCAAATGAATTTATGTAATGTCTCTGCTGCGTTGCACGCTTTAAGGGGTTAACATTGTGAAATTAACAACAATTTGACTTATGCGCGGGCGTAAATGCCAGCACACACACCGACATGCCAAGCACACGCACACAAAGAGGCCACAATAGCTGCGCCCAAAAGTATGCTAAACAGCCCAAACGAAGCCAGCAAAAGTCATAATTCAGCTAGGAATAGAGGGAGCGGTCGCCAGGCGGGCTTGAGTTGGGGTTGGGGTTGGTTTTGGGCAAAACTTGGCGAAAGGTAGCGAGAAATGTGAGTTTTGGTCCCGCCTGCAACTATTAATCAGGCTTTAATTGTTTTGCGTGTGAGCGTGAGTGTGCGTGTGTGTGTGTGTGTTGTTGGTTACATTTGTGTGGGCCAAACAGTCAGACAGACAGTTAGACAGTCGGACAGACTGAGACAGCAAACCGTAACAGACAGAGAGACACACATGCGCGCTCAGTTGAGGCCCATGCATCATGCGGCCAAAATCTTTTTGTAATCTCTGGCATTTGTCTGGATTTTTCGTAAAGTCTTTGAATAGATTTATGCTCCTCTGACAGGCACAAGATGTGTGCTTCTTGTGTCGCTTGTAGCTATAGCTTAAAGTGTCTTAAAGATACGGCTACTGCCAAAAACTTGCAAGCGATATGTTCTAAACTTCTCGATTTCTTTTTTATCAGAGGCAACTAAAAGGTATGTACACTGTTCTGCAATGAATTGCAAATGCTCTGTAAAAGACATTTAAGAGCTAAAAAAATATCGAAAATAAATAACAATTGTTATATATAGTTCTCCCAACTTAACGACACTTTCGATAACTGCCTTAGCTTTACAAGCCGATTCGATAACCGATTCATCCAAAAATAAATATTTAGAAAAAATAAAAAACAAATCAAGTGACCAAAGATGCCGATAACTTTCACAACTTGACAATGTATTAGAATTTTGAAATTAAAACTCTACTGAGAGAAAACTGACAGATTTTGTATTAAGAGAAAACTTTGGTGTTTTTATTATTAGTATTTAAGAAGCATACCGAAACTCGCTTAGATTTTATGGTAAAATCTTTAAAAACGAGATCAATTTCGTAATAAGTCGATCAACATCGATAAATACTTAAAATATATTTTACCAAACTAATTAAGGGTAAGTCAGGGATGTGTACACTATTTGGGAATTATCAATAACCGATAGCACCATATGGTCACACGTTTTGCTCGCTTTTTATTTTATTCTCAGCTGTTTAAATTTAGTTTACTCAAAATTGAAGTGAACAACAATATCAATATACTTTTTAGGCTCACAACACTTTTCGATAACACCTATTTCGCTGCTGTGTCAACTCTAGCAGCTACACCTCCTACCAGTAGCATCTGCGAAAATATTATTGCCCAAATCTGAAATGCCAAATTCTATGTAAAGGCTTATAAAAAATGTATGCTACAAGTTTTAATGCCTCGGTGAAAACTCTTGTATTTGTGTTGTTGTTATTGTTGCTGGCAACTCTCTGTCTGTGACAACGGCAAACGCACACAACACTTGCCGAGAGTACACCCAGTGCAAGTTGAAGTGGTTTTTGCGCTGCGGTTGCACAATCGTCTGTGTTTGTGTTTGGTTCTTATGCAAGTATTTTTTTTTTTGTGTTGTTTTGTTCGTTTTGTAAATTTTTTGTTTTTACGTTCATGTCTGCACAGGCTGCGGTCAAGGGTTGTGTTGGTGTTGCCAAAGTGTTGCCATATATTCTAAATATGTTGGTTGCTTGTTCGGTGCGCCGTTGACCAGTTGGCTATGGCCAGTTGGCTATGGCCACTTGGCTGGCCAGATGGCCAGCTGGCCAGCAGTTGCCGGAGCTGAATCTCTGGGCTGGTGGGCGGCACAATCCACATGAAAGTGGCCAAAACGACAGTTAAACGCAAAAGCGGCTAAAGCGGGCTCTAAAAACCACTTGGCAACTAAACGCGTGATTTATGCTGCAACTATGATAAGAGCTGGCAGGGTACAGGCCGGCCTTAAAGGTGCAACAAATGGAGAAAATGGGAGATGTACTAAAAAGTTACAAAAGAAATTTATTTTACATAAGCTAGCAAACTTTAAAGTGTGCTCACACAAGCCAGTTAAATTCTTAACCTATTGACGAAAGCCATAAGCATTATTTAGAAAATTCCGAAATAAAAATTAAAGTCTGTTTTCAAAAGCAAGAAAATAACATGATATTTATTGTAAATGCTTTTTATACCCATGCAGAGGGTATTATAATTTTGTCGTGAAATGTGTAACGCACTGAAGGAGGCATCTCCGACCCCATAAAGTATATATATTCTTGATCAGCATCAACAGCTGAGTCGATATAGTCCTGTTTCTATGCGAACTAGTCTCTCAGTTTTAAAGCTATCTTAATGAAACTTTGCAGAAGTCCCTCTTTCAATTGCAGGCAGCATACATGTCAAAACCAACTGGATCGGACCACTATATCATAAAGCTGCCACAGGAACGATCGGTTTATCAAGATATCTTGACCAAACTCGGCACTTACTATTTTCCCTGTGCTTTTTAGATACGGGCAAAGTAATATAAGCATTATGAAAAAGTTGGATCTACAAGGCTATTAGATTTTCGGCATGCCGAAGATAGCCTTTCTTTCTCGTTGAGCTTAATTATGGATATTATATAGCAAGAACGCATTGAGTGAAAGTATAGAGTAAAAGTATATATATAAAAAATAATTTATAATAATCAACGTTATGGAATGTATGAAAAAATTTAAAATTTATAATTTATTGGATGCAATTTTTGTTAAACATGTTCCTTATAAATACAAAATTAAAATAAGTAAGTGTTTGTAACATTTCCTCCTTTGAAGAAGCATTTAATCAGCAACAACCCGAGCATAATATAATATATGCCCTCACTTATAACTTACATAAAAACCTCATACATTAACTTCATATATTAGACAGACATTTGAGAAGTGAAAACAATTGAAGGCAGCTATATAATAAATATAATATAAAAAAGCTTCAGCTCCATTGGTTTTGGTCTGTGTTTTCGAAATGTTCAGACTGTCTGCCTATGGCCAATAAGGCAACATTTTATTTGTTTTGTGCGCATAAATAATCAGAAACACAGACGGCCAAAGGGAGAGGGCAGCGTGTTGGTTGGTAAAGGGCAGACAACTTGGCAAACAAACCGAAACCAAAATACTTATATATATGGCTATGTGAATCTGTACAGGAGATAAAAACGTTTAACAAAAACATAAAAACAGTCGGGCAAAAAAAAAAAAACGAGATATAACAGAAATTGCCAGACACCAAAATTTAATGTTTGCTTTATGCCTTTTCATCAATTTTGTTGGTGTTATTTGACTAATATTAATTTTAATTTAAGCATAGCTATATTTCATTTGCAATAAAAACAGACAATGGATTTCGGTTATTAAATGCAGATAAAGATAAGTATAAAGAATTAGATCAGTCTGGAAAATTTATATGGGAAATAAGTCTGCAGAAGATAAACAAATCTGGATCTTGAGAAGGTAAGATTTGAGGAGTAGGAAATCATACTGAAGATTCAAAGTATTTAAAGCTTCAAATATTTATGAGGGAAACCTTAATAAAAGTAATTAAAAGCAATAACAAAAAGTTAATAAGAAAATAATTAAAAAATCAAAAAAAAAAGTCAATTAAAAATTCAGATTAAATCTGACAAGTTTCCTCTGTTGAGTCAGGAGCTAGACACTCCAGAGTGTTACACAGTGCGTGATAAAATTATAAAACCCGCTGTAAAAGTATAAAAGGGATTTCTTAAGAGCTTAGCTCGACTATTAAATCTTACCAGCCCACGGGTAACCCCATCTTACTTAAACTGTAGGAAAAATACCAGAGAATGACAGGTAGACATATCGAATGTACAAGCACAAACATTTTTTTGTTAACATGCCACGCCTTCTTTGTGTATGCAAAAATGTGTGCTCATTAGATTGGACTAGGTTAAAAATATGCAAACAATGCAAGGCAAAAATTGGATCTGTACTTGTGTCTTGTACAAAGTTGGAAGCGGGGCTAGGGCAGGCGGAGCTTGGCATAACAACAACAACCCGTTGAGTGGAAAACAAAGGCGAAAACCTTTCACCTACAATGCTGCTGGGGTTGGGGAGGGGGGCGCCGCACAACAATACAATGGCGCTCATCAGCAGAAACGCAATGAAAATTGGAAAATTCACTCCCGCTCACCCGGTCTCGCACTCTCCATTATTGCCAATGTTCAGCAAATGCAAAAGAAATAGCAAATAGAATTGAAAAGAAAATGTTCCACACACACACACACACGCACACCCTAACAGGGGGCAGAAATCAGTGCCAGGTTACAGCAGACAAGTGCCTAATAGCTTACCTGCCAGCAGGGCTCATTGTTGTTTTGTGGGCGTGGCTGGGTGGCTGGATGTTGGTCATATGCATGAAGATTTGTGGCTGCATCTTTTATTTTTGCACAAACAACGAGAACAACAACTTGAACTGGCCCACTCTAACGTATGAGTGGCTCTCCATCGAGTCTCTTGAGATTGGGCAAACGGCGTATGGCCTCGGCGGTAAAGGCAACCGGATCCATATTCTCGTTCAATGGATTCCCAACGAATGTTAAATCATTCAGATTCGGTGGAACACCTATGCGTCCAAACTCTGCCCAATCCTTGATCAGATTGTGCGATATATAGAATACCTTGAGCGCTTTCATAGCCTCGATCGGTTTGATTTTATCTATATTGTTATAGCTAACCCATAGCTCCTCCAAGGTCTCGGCCAGCGTCTCGATGCCATTCAGATTCTTCAGATAGTTGCGCGCCAAGCTAAGCACACGCAAATTTTTCATTCCCGAAATGCCAGTGATTTTCTCAATCATGTTCGAGGAGAGGCTCAGCTTTTGACACTCCACAAGCGTGCTCAGTGTGGCATCCATTTTCTCAATCGGTGGATACTGGAATTGCAAGCCAATATCCTGGGCGGTGATCGCCTCCTGTTTGTTGCGTTCCTCCCAGCGTGCCAGCGCATCCTTAATTGTTGTCGCCTTGGCCATGCTTGTATACGAATTTTATGCTAGATTTCTCTAGATTCTGGCTTCATAAGTGTCAACTGGGCAATTCAGGCAATCTTTCTGAGCTGAATACGCTCAGCCAGCTTTAATGTGAATAATCGCATAGCTTTTTTTATTTTTATTTACATTTTTATTTTTTACTCGAAATATTGACAAACTCTATTGGCTTTTTTTTTTTGGTTATTAAAAGCAATAAACTTTATAAAATATAATATCTATAAAAAAAGGCAATAGCCAAAATTCAGTTAAGTTAAAAATAACATTTCTTAGCTTTTATTTGTAGTTTAAATATTTTGTACTCTTATAGTTTAAATAGAGGATAGAGAGATGACATATATCCAGCTTTAAATTTAGAACTCGACTTATAAACGAAGCATTCCTTCTATTTGTATATTTTTATTTTTTTGTATTCAACAAAATTATTTACTAACTTAAAATTTAAAAAATGTGCTTCTTAAAAAATTCGAATATGAAACCGACATCTATTTATACCATAAATTTCTTTACAAATATTTCTTTGCAATCAATTGACGTCAACAACGAACTTAAAGGCATTACAGAGAATTCGTGTTTATTTTAAAAAGGTTTTTTTTTTTTTAACAAGTTCCAGTTAAACGATAGGGAGGGAGTCTAAGGTACAGAACTCTTTCTGGCCCTTATTCCCTCGCCTGCCGGCGACTCAATGTAATTTATTTATTCGTCTCAATGTTTACTTGGCTTTTGGCTGCTCCCCAAGCTCTGTCTGGCACACGCTGATAACTTCATTGGCGTTGCCTTTTGTTAGAGTCTGGTTGGGGCTGGATGGAGGTCCTTGGGGTCGGGCTTGGGGTCGGGCTTGGGGTAGCCACCCAACTGGCATATGCCACATAACCGTCTGTGTTTTTTAATGTTCTCCTTTTTTTGTGTCATGTATGTCATGTGTATGTGTGCCTTGTGCTTTGTGCCAGAACCCCTGGAGAGTTTATTACACATATTTGAGGTGATAATACAGTTTGCCTTGCCCTTTGTGGATGGGGGCAGACCGGGTTGCTGTGCCGTCTGCCGCCGTTTGTCAGATTTTTTTGTTGCAATCAGACAATTATTTAAAATTTTCGTTTATTTTTAGCTTTAAATATGATGCATTTTATTTAAATAATTGTTAGCAGCTGTTATCGCACACATACTGCAACAAATTTTCGGCCATAAATTATTGAATTTATTGATGCGGCTCCGCAAAAGGAAGAAAGAAAAACCTGGACAAAAAAAAATAAGTGCCCCACATGCTCATATGGCGCACGTTTTTGATAATCGTCCAGAAATTTGCCAAAACATATTTGACTTATATTTTTTGTAATTTTTCTGCTTGTTTTTTATATTATTTGAGTGCCAAATGAAATTTGGCCGCTCATAAATTGCGTGCTCAATGCGGCAGAACTGACAAACAGAAAAGGAAAGAAAACATTTTTCGAAATGCATACAAAGTCTAATTTATGAATTCAATGGGCGGTCAGCTAGTGGCTGGCGAGGTGCAATCATAGGGTATGGCATATAAATTATTGAATCTATAAAGTTCTGTGGAAAGCACATTTTCCGAGAACTCAATCATCATCATGATAATTATTATTATTATTGTTATTAATTATGCTTTTTTCATTACTATCAATATTATTATTTTATGACTATTATATGTAATAACTTTACAATTATTTGTATTATTAACATCATCATGCATCACCAGCTCATCAATGTAATCTTTCCTACTCATGTTTCTCATCATATTTCATTTATAATTCGAGTTGCCATCTCTTTGCACGCTCTAGAGCTGCCACTTAGTCGAAAAAGCTCTCTTTGAAGTATCTTTAGGCAATTTTCTTGATTGAAAAACCCCAAGTTTGAGTCCTTCGATTACAACAATGCCATTTTCTTGCGGCTTCGAAATATCCTTTTTGCTCGAGCTGTTCTAAATTTCCGTTAGCTCGAGTTGGTTATAGGCCAATTCAATGGGCACGCTAGCGTATGCAGCCAGCAGGCCCAACAGTAGCGTATCCAAAATGCATTTCAACAATTAAACAAGGTTGTTACAAGCTGGGCGAGGGGAAAAAGGTGGGATCGGGCGAGGGGATAGCAGGCCTGCCAACCGACAAGCCCAGCAAGGAACGTTCCATATGGACACATGCATTATCACTCACATGGAACAAACATACGAAACCAAGCATGAGCATCTCCCTCTTAGGCTGACTGTGTGTATATGTGTGTGTGTGTGCGCGTGTGTGTGTGTGTGGTAGCCCGAGAAGCCACAACATGTCCTGTCATGCAGCACAGGACGTTGCGCAGCGGTAACATGCGGTAAGCGTTACAGTTGTTGACAGTCGTGTTTCTACTGTTTAGTTTCAGTTAACAAGCGAGAGGCGACGTAGCCAGAAAAATACATGCAGGGGCAAAGAGCGAGTGCTGGCGCGGGTTATGGAGAGGGGATAGCGGGGAAAAGAGTTGATGTAGAAGTGGGGAACAAGCGAACTGTCATATTTTTGGTGCGCAATTTGTTAAATGAATAGCCATTAAATTAAATAGCTTTTTTGTAGTGTTGTAAAATGCAGCGAATACATCAAGCATTTTGTCTATATACTGCTCTGTCGACTTGAATCTCCCTCGCTCTTTCCCTCTCTGTTTTTACTCCTCTTTGAATGATCATGAATCATTAAGATTAGCCAATAAAAACAGAGCATATAGTGTTGGAAAGTGCGGTTGAAATGAACAGGTTAGCTAGTCTGTAGAGCTTTCACTCACAGTTCATTATTTGTATACCCTGAACCTATTGAAAGTGGATAAAATGGGTATAATCTTTGTGTGCAAAATGTAAATGTATGTAACAGGCAGAAGGAGACATCTCCGACCCCATAAAGCATATATATTCTTGATCAGCATCAACAGCCGAGTCGAAAGAGCCATGTCCGTCTGTCCGTCTGTCTGTTTCTATGCGAACTAGTCTCTCAGTTTTAGAGCTATCTTAATGAAATTTTGCAGAAGTCCCTCTTTCTGTTGCAGCACATATGTCAAAACCAGCTGCCATAGGAACGATCGGTCGAAATTTAAGTTATTATATGAAAAACAATTTTTGTTTACTAAGATATCTTGAATAAACTCGGCATTAACTATTTTCCCTGTGCTTCTTAGATACGGGCAAAGCACTATGAGCATTATGAATAGGTTGGGTCTGCAAGGGTATTAGATCTTCGGCGTGCCGAAAATAGCCTTTCTTTCTCTTTTTTTTTATGGCTGGCTAGGCTTTGGAGTAGAGACGGCGACAAGTAGTGAGGAAGGTTACGAGTTCAAACCCTGCCAAGGGAACTTTTTTTTATTTATCTTTATGAATACAAACAAGCGCGTACCGTGAACTGCATTTGGTGTTGGAACAAGAGGGTTCAAGGTATCCTCTAGTCGGGAACTCCCGACTAGAACCTCTTACTTGTTTTTCTTCCACCCTTCCGCTCTGCCCTTTTCTCTATATATTTTCTATGATTCGCAATATAACCATGCATATACCTATACCTAACTTGTCGGCGGTACTTCTCCAAAATGCTATATAAATTTGAAACTTATAAGCTCTATTAGAGATATTACGCTAGATATACGTGCTCTAAACACAGACATAGTTAATCCTTTAAATTGATAAAAGTGTTGAAAACCGTATCTATCGATGATCTGAAAGGAATTTATGTGCTGGAAAATGGCACAGTCTATTATTACATTGATCTATTTTCCGTCCTTGCAGGTTTCTGTGTTTAGCATGCCATACACATATTCACTTAGTAAAATGTATAGCTACGAAATGAAGCGCTCGCCAGTGTTGCAAAATACTGAACAGCATGTCCTTTTGTGGAAATTTACATGGCCCATTTAATGGATGCAGCCAAACTTTGCAACATTGCGTATACTTTTACTTTAAGAAACTCGCACATAAGTCACAAAATGCTCCCAAGTACACAATGTAACTATGTTGTTGTTGTTGTTGTTGGTGGTGTTGTTGTCTCTGTTGTCGTAAAACTTTTATGTATGAAAATATTTTTCTGTATAGAACACCTGCCCACAGCAACAACAGAGAGACTGAGAGAAACAGAGTGAGTGGGCGAGAGGGAGATAGCGAAAAGCCGTTGCATATTGAAAACTTTACATTAAGCAAACAAACTGAGAGCGAGAAAGAGGTAGAAAAAGCTAATAATCACTGCGAGAACCACACTTATGTGTAAAGATTTCAGCTGGAAACTATTTTCAAGGTAGTCTACCAAACATAAAACCCAACACAAAAGTCTGGCAAAATGTTGACAACGAATGCTCACATGATTGGGATTACCTGCATAAAGTTTAGCTTAAATTTGAGCTGTTGAATTGATATATATATATTGCAAATATATGCGTACAGTATTTGAATGCATATGAAGCTGTTAATAGGCATTTAATTTTATTATTAATTTAAAAATTTCAATATGATTGGGCAACCCATGTTGATCGATATATATGGATACATGTATACCTCTTACAGTTTTCATTCAATTCCATTTTGCTTAACCAAAGGCCGATCTTACAATATGTAACTATTTCGATAGCGTTCAATAATGCTGCCAAGTTTGCATCCATATAAATATGCAAAATTCAGACATTTAGTTAATTAAGAGCCTTTGAAATAACATGCATGCGCTCATGTAAGTATATTCAGAAACATTTGTAAACACGATTCGGCTCCTAATTAAAGACAGAAATGTGCAACGCATAACGATGTGTCAGGGGTATAAGCTATGGGGTTTCCTAAATCAATAATATTGCAAGAGACCGCTTCGAAGGGCTCCTTGGAAGATTGGAGGCGGATGAGCCCCTGTGTGTGTGTGTGTTTGTGTGTGTGTGTGTGTGTAAGTGCTGCTTGTGGGAAATGGTAGTTAAGGATTGCCCAATTTCATGTGCTATGCACACAAACACACGCTTAGATTGCAATTGAGTTTGAGTTACATAACCGCAAATAGACAGCAACAACCGGTTGAGTCATCAAGCTGAAAATGCGCCCATCCCATAGAAGCAGCAGTCGGAGCA